TTTACGTATCTAAAACGTTATTTAATCATAGGACTATATTAATATTATTGTTAAAATTTATATCGATAATTTCAAAACACGACAACACGTAAGGGCGACACTATGTAAAAATGTAAACAGTCAAAATGTTTACTTATTTAAAAGTTTAAATTTACATGATAATAGGCATTGGAAATTCTAGATAATAGCGGAATTTAGAACCCATAACATGAACGCGAAACGCAATTCACACGAAAAAATATACATAATTATGAAAAAAAATTACAACTAGCCTGAAAAATGACAATCCTTCTTTATTTTTACAACAATTTGAATTACATCCATAGTAGTCACAATTCACTGTAACACTGAAAAATAACTCTGAACAAAGCGATGACAGACGAACTACCACAAACGAACGTCATTTTAAAATGGCGTCATGCTTCAAGGTCGTAGATAGAGGATTGACTAGATAAAGCATTCGCGTATGCTTTTGAGATAGAAATAGGCGGGAGGTACTTTCCCTGGGTTACCAGATATTATTCCATTTCCCCCAATCTGGGTTTATTTATATTCACAGCACTTAATTCATACAAAAAACTTATTTGTTAACATAAAAAAATGTTTTTTTATAATTCAGATGATTAATTCATTTATCTTGAAAATACATTCTGTGACTAAAAACTACGGACGGAAACGACGTAAAAACAGAATCATTATTCCGAATTCAACGGCGCATCGACGACTTTACTCGACATTTAATAAACTCTTCGATTTCGACGGCACTAAGTGAAAACGCTACTAGCACAAAGTGTGATATCGCTAATAAGTAGGAGTATGTAAAATATGTACTTAAATATTAGGTAATTAATTATTAAAACTTTCCTCGTGTCGAATTTTATGTTTTTAAAATTCAATAATGTTTTAACATACGAGTCCATCACAAGTTCAGTGCTGAACACAGAGCTCCGAAAGGAAAAGGTTTCCACATAGGTTTTGTAGTACAAAACACGGTTCTGAGCCAACTTCCGCGATTTCCTGCATGTCTTACTAAGATTAGTGGCTTGTGTGCAGCAAGTTGTGGCATACAAGAGAATTTGTCTATACACGGGATGATACTACCCCGCGTCGTAAGCAATAATACAAGATGAGGATGGGGCAGCAGCACTTTCCTGATGAAAACTTAAAATAAACACAAGAATAAAACTAAGAAGATTAACGGCAGCATTTTCCTGATGAACAGCTAAATATAAAAAAAGCAGTGGTTGCCAACCCGCTTGCCAAGCGTTGCAACTATGGAAAATAACTATGTTCATGTTTATATTCAGCAGTGGACTTTAGATAGACTGTAAAGGAAAAAGGACTAAATTTTGTGTACTTACACAAAATTTAGAAATATTAACAATGTTACATTAAGTAAAACAAATGAAAACACAATTATATTATTAAATATAATCCAATAAAATTAAAATAAATAAACGATTATTTATTAATTTTTCATGATATTAATAAACAACAAAATTTTTGTCTTCTTTCTAGATCATTCGTTGTAATTCTTGGTATGAGTAGCTTTAGAATTTCTCAAAAAATATGCATTTATAAACTTGATTTATAATTTTGCATGGCAGAAACTCTTGGGTGCTGCTTGTTAAAATCTGATTAGCAGGCAGTATATATATATATTATATGCCTTGTATATAATATATTTTAGTGGTATAAAAATAATAAGGTACAACTCCTAAACTATACTTAGATAGGTAATACCTATCTCTTGTCAAAAACATCTTTATTACATTATTTATGTCAATTAAATGTAAATTATTATTAATAAATTATTTATTTCTTAACTTATTTCCACATTATTGTTTATAACACCTTTATAAAAAGGATTAAGGGGGGACTAAATATCTCATTGGTAGGCATTTACAGTCACTTTTACAATTATTATTGCATAATAAATTGTTCATTTGTATATTTAAGTCAGGATTTAAAATTATTTATTTATTATTTTATTTAAATCTTTACTTGCATAAACCATGGTAGTACAGATAAAGTTCCTACATTTGTAAATGAGAATTTATGTTTAATCAATCTATCTATAATTAAATATTTTGTCATTGTCATGCAATCAAATTACACAAAGAAAATTAATATAAATTACAATAAAATTATTACAAGTCATAATAATACAGTATAATAACAGAGAAATTTGAAAATAAAAAGTCAAAAACCATAAATAAATTAAGCAATGCTCTTCAATTTTTAATACATACAGAACAATGTCAAAAATCATAATTACCAACAAGGTCAAACTTATATCACTTATGGGGAAACAACAAGACAACAATAAATTATAACATTTTAAATATTTTATCTTAATTATATTATAAATTACATAAATTAAGCATATTTAGTCCGCCTAAAACAATGAGGCTCAAAATGATTTGAGCATACACTGCTAAGTTTTGTTGGTTATCTATAATCATCAACAGTAGCGATTATCCAGCAATTACGGATATCTGTTTCATTAGGAAAGCTGTAAAATAATATATTTAAAAGAAATTATTATATTAAATATATAGTACACTTTTATATCAAGGTATTTAAAAAAATTCAAGTATGAGTATCTGTGCATAAATACAACACCTATAACAATTAATACAATATCAATTGATTTAATTAAATAGCAGGTATATGTAAATGTAATTATAATATTATTCATACCAAACATTTAAAAAAAATGTACATATTAAGCTTTAGATATTGTTAATTAGTACATTTACAGCCTAACAAATGTCCTCCACAGCTGAACATAGACCTCCCACATAGTTTGTCTGCAAAATAACTGCAGTTGCCAATCCTCCTGCCAAGCTAGACAACAATCATAAAACCTATAACTTTTGACTTTTGATAATGACTAATAGTAACGGTAAATATATTATCATAAAATTTTTTCTACATCATTAATTGAGAATATTATCTTAAGTTGTTGTGTTATTGTGTATCTTAAGATTAAGACTTATTTATTTATTATTTTATCTATATTTATATAAGTATGACATATCTAGTTATTTTTTAATAACTATTGTAATTTAATTGTTGCTAATGTGTGATAGAATTAATGGAATACAATAAAGTTTTGTGCCTGTGATTTCAGGTACATATTTTGTGAAATTAAATATACTTTGTCCAATACTTATGTAGTTGAACCTAAACATGTTTTCAGGTTGATAATTATATATTATTTGTGACATCTATTAATATAGAAAATGATTGAAGAGTTGTATATTATTGCCCAATAAGGAGAGTTTCCTTTAAAGCTGAACATAAAAGTGTATGCATATGTATAACATTATGTGATTCATATTTATGTACATAACTACTAATCACAATAATACTTATTATTGAACAATGGGAAAACATTATTGTACTCGATGATATCCCTAAAGTTTCCATAATCCTACCAAGTCAAAAAGTACACGTTTGTTATGACTTTAAGCTTTGCAATGATCATTCAAATTAAGGAGCATTATCATGAAGAATTTACAATTTGGGAGTCGAAATATTTGACAAAATACATCACAAAGTTCATTAAAAACATGAAATGTTACACTTTATATTCAAAACAACAGATATTAATCAGTACAAATAGCAAATGTAAGCACAAAACAAACTTACCGAGGAAAGGTAATATCATCAATTTTTCGTTGACTGATGCTATTGCATCCTAAAATGCTACAACTTAACATCTTTTTCACCTTACTTAATAACTAAAACCCACGAAAAACACTGAATTCAATTACCTGTTTGCTTATAATATTAATGATAATCACAAACGCTTGACATCGTTAATGTCAAATAAAGGAGGGAAAACAATCAAAAACGTATACTTAGAAAAAGACAAGAAATATTGTTTTGCTTCTCCCTTACTCATATGTTTAACTATATACGTGCATTCCTTTCACACGCAGATGACGTCACTGAATGTTTAGTCTATAAGATACTATGTCTATGTTCAAGGTGGAGCTTGGTGACATTATAATGAAAACTGTCAATAGAAAATTGAAGTCTAAGATAAGTCCTTATCTTTTTTTACATATGAAAATCATGACGTGTGAGAATGAGACAGATATATTTTTGACTATTCATGTTTGCATGATATTTGTATAAAAAAATATATTATATGCAATTTAATGCTTATCCTCTATTTTTCTTATATCTATGGTCTACGGGCTGTAGTCTATACACCAGTATATTATTTTAAACTGGTTTTGCGGCTCCGGGTTCTAGCCCTTCTGGGCCTTACGCCAGTATATTCTAAGTAAATGCACAGAAATAAATGATGCTTACACATGTGAGGACTGAAGAGGATTGTCAATATTGTCAATAATGAATTGTTAAATGAAGATAATTAGGAGTTTTGGCGGGAACTTGATCGGCGGCGGTTTGCTGCTCCTGTAATATAGTTTAAATAATAGTTTGAAGTGGATTTTGATATGTAAAAGTGGTGCGATTTTATGTATTAACTGTCTAAACATGTGAACTATTAGTGGAAACGGTGAAACAAGTGCTCTGATGGTGATGGATTCTCAAGATAAGCTGTTTGTTTGCATAGGCGCCTTTAGATACCATCGCCAACTGTCAGCTGCCTGCTGACTCAAGCTGCCGTCAAAATCTTCCAAGGGCTACACAATATGACGCATCAACATATTGTGAAGTAGTGAACTATGAAGGATAATTATACAAAAAGACAAGGCTGTATGGCATAGTTCCTTTGCCTGCTCTCTCGAGCGAATAATAAAAACAACAACAACAACAATGAATTGTCAAATGACTCAAACTCAAAGTCAAATGTCAAATTCGTTGGCATTTGTGTTGGTGGACGCCGTTTATATTTTTATTTTGTTTAATAATTACGGTATATTATATTAAAAAGACAAGATAAACTAAGCTTTACTAAGAGAGTTAAACAAAATTATTTAATTATTTTCGTCTAGTTTTCACTTTATAAAATAAAAATCATGACAAATCTCGACGTAAGTGTTGTTTTTTATTTTTTATCTCAACTTTCAATGTTAATATTATTAAGATTGAAGTAAAGAAATACAAATATTACAATTAAATACAAATTACAATCTAAAAATTCATATACATTTGTCTACAAATGTGTTTTCTGGCCAAATAAACCATATACTGTTTTTGTAACAATGTTGCTGTTGAAAATTTGATGTATAACATAGCTGAGCCAGGTAACGAACACCCTTAGACAGTAACAATGTTAAATGAGCCGGCCATATAGTTCGAAGAACTGACAACTGATGGGAGAGCAAAGGTTCTCGAGTGGCAGCCTCGTACCAGTAGGCGAAGTATAGGGCAACCCTCCACTAGATGGAGCGTCACTCTATGGAGAGGGCTATGCGTGGGGTTTCTCTGCGCGATAAACTTAGAAATTAGGATATCCGCAGCAGAACGACAGTGATTGACATAGCTCAACGCATTGGTAAGCCGAAGTGGCAATGGGCCGGCCATATAGCTCGAAGAACCGACAACCGATGGGGAGAAAAGTTTCTCAAGTGGCAGCCTCGTACTGAGGCGAAGTGTAGGGCGACCTCCCGCTAGATGGAGTGACGACCTGGCAAGACATGCAGGAAGTCGATGTATGCAGGTGGCTCAGGACCGTGCTTTGTGGCTTTCCTTGGGTGATGCCCACGTTCAGCAGTGAACTTGTTAAGGGCTGTAATGATGATGATTTGAGTGTGTCCTTGGATGGTATATATTCATAATTGAACCTGGTAGGTAGCTGTTGTGAAGATCCAGAAATTAGCCATGCGAAGTAGGTGCGGATTGCTAGTTGTGCATTAAAAGTGAAAAATATACCAAATACTAGTTTTAATTTATCATTTGATTTTTTTTGTAACAATTCCATTATTTTAAACAGAGGTAGTGTTAATTATGATGTTATTAATAGACTTTTATTACATTAACGTTATATATATTTTTATCCATTTATAATGTTCTGTTCACCTTATGCTCAATTTTCTTCGCCAGTGTCAAAGGTGCAAAACAGGCTTTTTTTTTGTATAATAAGGATTTTTAAATTTCCTGTAAAAAGGGTCTACCTTGAGCCTTCCTTGGTGAAGTCGATCCATTTGTGCTGCAATCATAACAGCATGGCTCTACCGCCTAATACACCTGTTAATGTGATCGTTAATCTGCCTCTTTATATCAAATATTTCTTATAATGGGAGCGACCCATATACAGTGTTCAACTATTACATGCTGATTAAGAAGAATTATTTTTACATTTCCAGGTCAGCAATAGTAGCACCGAAAGTAGCTCAGGATCTTCCTCCGATTCAAGCAGCAGTGGGAGCTCTTCCACCAGTTCGGGGTCCGGCTCAAGTAGTTCGGACTCTGAGTCTTCGACGTCTGATACTCCAGCGGCGACTGCCTCCACTGCCCCACCTAAATCACCTGCAAAGGCAACCGAAGAACTGAAAAAGAAAGAAGAACAGAAGCCTAGAAGATCATCTAAAACAAAGACTACATCTTCAAGCGAGGAAGACCCGCCTAAACCGGCGAGTCCTAAACCCGCTCCACCTAGGAGAAGGGGGTCAGCTAAACCAAAATCAGCTGCAACAGTCCTCGCTAAAGGTAAACCTGCACCCCGAACATCCACTGGCGCCAAAGCGAAAGCTATTTCGAAAACAATACCTAAAACACAACCTAAATCTGACTCTAATACATTAAAAAAGAAAAGCATATTCTCACCTGACAATAGTTCGGAATCGGAATCTGAAAGCAAAGACAGTAAATCGTCCAAAACAAGTCCGAAAGATTCTCCTAGTACCAAGAAGGTCACTAGAAAAGCAAGCAATGAAAAAGAAACTCCACCTTCACCAGCACGTCCTGCTGAGACAGATGTTACCACAAAAGAAAATACTAAAAGGAGAAGCAGTAGGAATAGTGGTCCACCAGCTAAAAAAGCGGTGGAAGATAAAAGTGCTTCATCATGTTCATCAAGTCAGTCTTCTGTAGAATCTGTTTCTTCAGAAAGTGACAGTGAACCGTCTTCAAAGAAAGAAACCTTAAAGACTGGAAAAACGAAGCCTGCATCTGTTACAAACAAGGTAAGTTTTTTAGCATTAAAAGGGATATATTTGTGCAAAATTATATAACTCGCATTTGAGCTAAAATGAGTTATATATTTTAAAGTTGTCCTTCCCTCCAATCCCAGTAAAAATTGTTCTTGGTGAAAAACAAATTAATCCATTACAGCCCATTAAAACTGCTATACATATATACACTATATATATATATACATGGTAGAGCCATGCTGCAGCTATATTAGTAATATAGTTTTAGCATGAATGGGTCGGCTCGACCGCGGAAGGACCATGCTCTCATAGAATACCAGCGTAAAATAGCAGCTTAACACTGCTGTTTCATATTGTGAGTGTAGAGAACTGGAGACCTAATTTTTTACAAGGATAGATGTAGATGACTATGGGCCACTGCAACCACTTACCATCAGGTGGACCGTGTGCTTGTTTGTCACCCTATCCTATAAAAAATGTGACCTGGACCTGGATCGGGTATTGTGCTGTATTTTATGCTGCTTTAGTTTTCTGTCTTCTCGATAGGAGCATGTATACGCTTTCACAACAAAGTCCCAGAAAATATGCAGACCTTATCTATCAAAAGGTTTAAATTATTTATTTATTATTTTTTTAAGGAAAAATTGTCTAGTAAGGGTTATTATACTAATAAGAGTCATGTAGACTGATAATAATCCCTGAGAATGAGGTGATTGCTACCATGCTGTTTTTAAATGTTTTCTAACAATCATATAAAATATTATATTGTAAATTGGGCTTTTAAAAAAAGAGTCCCGCAGAATTTCTTGATGGTTCTTCCCAGTACAGAGGTTTTTTGCAAACCAGTGGTAATAGTAAAAAAATGACTTTCAATAAGTATTATGTACTGTAATCTATATTGAATAAAAATAATTCTATTCTGTTCTATTCTATTGCCTCATAGAGAGTTGGCCTGTATAAAATAAATGATACAAAACGTTCTCATACACCTCATTGTTATTTTTGCAGAAGGAAACAACTTCAAAGAGTGGGGACTCTGGCGAGTCAGCAGTGGGCACTATGCCAAGGAAATTGACCAGGTCATTCTCAGCTCGAGCTAACAGATTGAACAACACTTCTAGACCGGCACAGACCGACACTGACTCAGAGGCTGATGACAAGAGCAATGACAAAAAGTAAGACTGATTCTATAAAAAAAAATCCTAATTTTAGTAAACATGGAATATCTTTATCTCTACATAGTATAAAACAAAGTAACCACCCGCCGTCTGTACGCATAGATCTTTTAAATTACGCAATGAATTTTGATTCAGTTTTCATTAATAGACAGAACTATTCAAGAGGAAGGTTTATATGTATGTGTAATACATGCATATTATTAATATAAAAATCAATTGATGTCCTTTAGGCTCGTTAAAACTCAAAAACGGCTCGACAAGTTTGGATGAATTTTTTGTGTGTGTTTGAATGGGTCCCTAGACGGTTTAGATTCACATTTGAGCCCGGTAGGTGGCGCTGTTGTCGAGATCCAGAAATCACCCGTGCAAAGCCGGGGCGGATCCCTAGTTACCCCATAAACAGTCTACAGCTTTATGTGCGTCTGTCGCACAATCAAGAAGACCTACCTTAATTACTGTTTGATATATTCGTAGTAACCAATGTCTTATGGTGGTCATTATTATAATAACAGATTATTACAAAGGAGTGGAATAATTTGCCGGCGCCTACAATCTGGGCGTCTTCAAGGCAAGAGTGAATAGGCTTTTGTTACGCTAAGACAGTGTGATTTACCATCTAGGGCTACATCACCACTTACCACCAGGTGGGATTGTGGTCAAGCACAGGCTTATAATAAATAAAAAAAATGTAATGCATTATTCTTAGCAATGTGTAACTCCTATTTATTTTGATTGATGATGATGATTTTTATCCTGTTATTTTGCGTTATCCAAGCACACAGTACACCTGATGGTAAGAGGCTGCTGCAGCACGTGAGCATCGCCATCTGTCCTAAATTAAGAATCGAAATACAGATGCATTGTCACCCCTGAGGACTAAGATGGAATGCTTTGTTTCCAGTAAAAAGGGTCCCCGGATTTCTAAGCTCACTATACAAAATACAGCTTCATTAAGCGGTTATTTCACGTGGATATTCTGTGAGAGCGTGATCCTTAACTGGTCGACCCGACCCATTTGCGTATGCAGGGGCATTAACAAGTGAGGGAGAAAGGGCACTGTTCAGATAGTAACTTCACGATGTTTACGATTATAATCTTTCAGAGCATAAGATAAAGTTCACTTTTATATTTATAATTTAATATTCTCTACTACATTGCTGTTCCAAGTCGCATATTTGAAACTACAATTTTGTGCTTTAGGTAAATTAGAATATCTACCCATCCCCATCTTGTCCCATGTGGAAAAAGTCGATGGATAGATATAATCATCTCGTATATTATAAATGAAATGAAATGAAATACACAAATCAATGACAGGGAACAGATCCAAAAGTATTAGCAAAGATGCCATTAACAGCTACAGGTCAGTCAATTATACTGCTGTATCATCAATCAACTATACTGTTGTGTTACTGTTTTTCAACTATGCAGGTAGTCATTTAGCTTTTTTTTAATAGGATTAGGGTGATAAGCGAGCACACAGTCCACCCGAAGCTAAGTGGTTGATGTGGCAGCTTAATGCTGCTGTGTTTCGTATGGTGAGTGTAGAGAACCGGAGACCCTTTTTACTGTAAAAGAGGCATTCCATCTTAGTTCTCACGGGTGACAACGCATCTGCATTTTGATACGCAAACGAAGGTAGATGAAGATGTCTATGGGCCACAGCGACCACTTGCCATCAGGTGAACTGCGTGCCCGTTTGTCACCCTTATTCTATAAAAAAAGTAAATGCTGTGGTCCATAGAAACCTCTACCACCAAATAAAAAATGAATCAAAATGCAGATGCGTTTTTCACTCCTAATACTACCATACATTCTTAAAATAGCACCATAATGCTGCCAATTTATGATAGTATTCTTTGAAAGAGTGCTACTCTTTGAGATTGGCGGGAAGCGATGGGTTGCCCTAAAACTTACTTTTCATCAGTTAATCTTGCTTAATTTCAGTAAGGAGACTAAGAAGAATTCGAAGGGGCGACCGCCTGTGGCTCGTTCTCCTATAGTGGCAGATACAGCGCCACCTATGCCATCTGAAAGACGGTGCCCTGTTAGAGGCTGTGATTCCACTGGACATTTGGGTAATTTATTAATACAATTCTATGATGAGACCAACGGGTAACATTATGTTGACTCTTTATTGAGTTGTGGATACTGGCTTTTAATTTTAGCTGGTATCAAAATTTTTATAAAACGTCAATCTTTTCTGTCTCGGGTATAGTAGCCAGTCTCTCGGTATATATTCTATAAGATACATTCCAGAGAGTGTATGCAAGACTTTCTACATGATTTATTTCTCTTTCCTTTTTTTCATTTGTTGTGGAGGCTCCATGCATTCCAACTATATAGTTTGCATCGTCTTTTGTAAAACAGCAATGTAGTGAGATAATTTTTCAGCTGTCTTAGCTATCTGTCTTTCCATCCGATTACAATATGGGCCTAAAGGTAAGATTGACTAGCTTAAAATAAATAAAAAAATGCAAATTGTTAAATATATGGATATATTGGAAGTGTCCCCCGAGTCTCTGATACTACATATAAGCTTTTTTTTTTTTTTTTATAGGAGAGGGGGCAAACGAGCATGCGGCTCACCTGATGGTAAGTGACTACCGCCGCCCATGAACAACTGCAACACCAGGGGAATCGCAGATGCGTTGCCGGCCTTTTAAAAAGGAGTACGCTCTTTTCTTGAAGGTCCCTAAGTCGTATCGGTCCGGAAAAATCGCTGATGGTAATCGATTCCACAAGGAGGTCGTGCGAGGAAGAAAACATCTTCTAAATCGCACAGTGGTGGACCGCCAATCATCCAGATGGTGTGGATGGTATCGGGAGTTCTGCCGCGATGTGCGTTCGTGAAATTTGGCGGCTGGGATTAATCCGAACAATTCCTCAGAGCACTCCCCATGGTAGATGCGAAAGAAAATGCAAAGGGATGCAACATCTCTTCGCAGTGCCAATGAATCGAGCCGATCGGAAAGGGCTCGGTCGTCGACAATTCGAGCCGCTCTGCGTTGGATGCGGTCAAGTGGAAGGAGCTGGCACTGGGGAGCCCCTGCCCAGAGATGGGCACAGTATTCCATGTGAGGCCGAACTTGCGCCTTGTAAAGTAGCAGGCGGTGTGCCGGCATGAAATACTGTCCCGCTCTGCTGAGCACGCCAAGCTTTTTAGAGGCCAATTTGGCCTTCCCTTCCAAGTGACCACGAAACTGCATGTCACTCGATATGTCGACTCCGAGGATACCGATACTGGCTGAGGCAAGAAGGGGAGTGCCTTGAAACTGAGGAGATACGACAAAGGGGTTCTTTTTAGCGGTAAACGCGCAAACTTGTGTCTTCTGAGGATTAAATTAGACTAGATTTAGTCGCCCCCAATCCGAGACTTTGTTCAGCAAAGACTCGACTTCAGACAAGTTTGTTCCGGTACTCAGCGACGTTTTCCCGAGAAATATTGGCACGGCCGGTGTATAGAGCATCACCAGTGCTGTCATCCGCATAGCAATGAATGTTACCAGTTAGCAACATATCATTGATATGCAGAAGAAACAGCGTTGGTGATAGCACACAGCCTTGTGGAACACCAGCGTTAATAGGCTTGTAGTCAGAGCATGCACCGTCTACAACGACCTTGATGCTCCGATCTGCAAGGAAGCTGGTGATCCAATTGCACAATTTCTCGGGAAGCCCATAGGAAGGGAGCTTCGAAAGAAGCGCTTTGTGCCAAACCCGATCGAAGGCCTTCGCAATGTCCAGACTAACGGCCAACGCCTCCCCCTTGGACTCTACTGCCTCCGCCCATCTATGGGTCAGGTAGACCAGAAGATCACCAGCTGATCGACCCCGACGAAACCCGTATTGGCGGTCACTAATCAGCTGGTGATCCTCAAGGTACCGGATGAGCTGGCAGTTAATAATGGATTCCATTATTTTGGAGAACAAGGAGGTGATCGCGATAGGCCTATAGTTGGATGGGTCTGAGCGGTCGCCTTTTTTAGGGATCGGGTGGACAAAAGCTGTCTTCCATGAATTCGGGACTACGCCTTGGGAGTAGGAGTACCGGAAAAGACGCGTTAGGACCGGTGCCAACTCCGGAGCACACGTCCTCAGCACAATTGGGGGGATTCCGTCGGGCCCACTCAACTTCTGGATGTCCAGGGAGAGGAGTGCTTTGCGAACCGAGCGCTGTGAGAACAGCACATCCGGCATGGAGCACTCACACCGCGGGATGGTCGGCGGTGTTTTCCCCCCGTCATCAAGAGTCGAGTTGGACGCAAAAAGGGAGCCTAAAAGGTCGGCTTTGTCTTTTGCGTCATGGGCCAGTGAGTCATCCTCACTGTGCAGAGATGGTAGTGATGGCTTACAGAAATTCCCTTGGACAGCCTTGGCGAGAGACCAGAATGCACGGGTTCCCGAAGGAAGGCGAACTAGTTTCTCGCCAATTCTGCCTATGTGCTCTGACTTTGCCTTGGCAATAACTCTTTTGAAGGACCTGGAGGTGAAGTTATACTTCTTTTTAAGTGTGCTGGTATTTACATCCCGAGTCGCCGAAGCCGCAGCCCAGGCTTGATAACACTCCTGCTTACTGCGTAATGCAGTCTTACAGGAGCGACCAAACCAAGGCTGAGATCTGCCTCCGATGGGTACCACAGATGATGGAATAAATAGTTCCATTCCCTGTAGCACCACATCAGTGACAGAGTCAGCAACAGCGCTGGGATCATCCGGCGAGAAGCAAACCCGCCCCCATGGGTAGGATGCAAAGAAGGACCGCATTCCGTCCCAATCCGCCGACCTGTAATGCCAAACACGGCGGCAACCTGCAGAACGCAACCGCGAAGGGAGCGTGAGTGGCACCACACTCCGGATCAGACAGTGGTCCGAAGAGCCGAGAGGGGCATCGACGGAAACCTGATATCCGTCCGGATGAGAGGTCAGCAGAAGGTCCAACAGGGAAGGTGTATGATCCTCCACATCTGGAATCCGCGTAGGCGAAGTAACCAGTTGTGTCAGACCATATGCCAAGGCAAAGTCATAAACAGATCTCCCCGCATGATCGGTTAGACGTGAACCGAGCCATTCGGCATGGTGGGCGTTAAAATCGCCAAGGATCACGATCTCTGCGGATGGGACCTGTTGTAGCAAGAAATCTGTAGCCATTTGGACGTGGTCGATGAGTCGGTCTGTTTCGGCATTACCGCTATGGGACCTATAGAGGCACCCGTAGACGCGCGGATGGTCGTCGCTGTCTACGCGTAGCCAAAGGATGGACAGGTCCGAACCTTCAAGACTGCCGAGGCGTCGAGAACAGATGTCCTCTCTGACATACACGCAAACTCCAGCCCGAGGCACAAAGGAATGCTCCAATTTGTACCCCGGGTAGGAGAGATACGAAATATCAGCCGGAGAGGAAACCTGCGTCTCGGTCAGAAAGAGCAAGGCCGGCTTCACCGTCTCGAGATGGTAGTGGACAGCGTTTAGGTTAGAGTGAAGTCCCCTGATGTTGCAGAAATTCACGGATAGCGTGGCAGGGGTCGCCTTGGTGTTCTTGCTCAGTTTGCCCCTAGCAGTAATGCTTTTGAGCGGAATTTTGCCCCCCCCCCCAGAATACGCGGGGCAGCCTGAGCACCCACGCTCAGGATCGGAATAACATGGTCGTGGATGCTCAGCGAGGGATTCTCCAGGGGTGCTGGTACCCTCCTGGGGTAGTTCTTCGTGTAATTACGCTACCATGTTGATGGGGGGGGGGGGGGAATTGGGCCTCCGGCCACCTGCACTCACCAGACGAAACGCAGAAGCAAAGCTTCTACTTCACGCCGGTATTCTGTGAGGTCGTGGTACCAACCCGGCTCGAGCCGGCCCATACATGCAACAGCAAAAACTGCTGCGTGGCTCTACCACCGTTAAAGCTAACATATTATGCTCTTATCACAAAAGCTGAGCATCAGATACTGCTAGGTTAAAACTCCGTGTTTTAGTTGTTGGTCATTGATGTACAAGCGCTTGTACGTCAATGACGGGGAGTCCTCTGAGGAATTGTTCGGACTAATTCCAGCCGCTCAATTTCACCATCACACATCGCGACAAAACTCACGATACCATCCATGCCATCTGGATGATTGGCCGTCTCGCACAACTTCCTTGTGGAATCGATTACCACCAGCGATTTTTCCGGACCGATACGACTTAGGGACCTTCAAGAACAGAGCCTACTCCTTTTTAAAAGGCCGGCAACGTATCTGCAATTCCCCTGATGCTGTACGCACGTTAAAAATGCCAGTGCGCCAGCCAAAAGTGTTCGTTATAAAATTGTAAAAATATTACGGCAAGAATGTTAAAAAAGGATGTGATATCCTACTTTCGATAAGTAAAAGAGTCTATTGATTTGTTTTTGTTGTTTATATGACTAAATATATAGAGAAATATGTGATTTTGATTTAATTTGTTTTAAAACTTCACTCAACAGTCAAAGTATATAACGGCTAATTTCAAGGACCGCTCTGTCAGTGTAAGAACAACGCGTTACATCCTTTTATTTTAGTCGAATAATACAAATGACCCTGTTCTTATTCCATGGAGTCGATTTTTTATTATTATGTTTAATTTTTTAATTAATAAGTTTAGCAACTGAACAGACAGATCTCCAAATGCATGCGGCGGGACTTAAGAAACTTTAATACTTCTCGTATTGAAGAAACGATCGAGTTGAACCAGGGCTGCTAGAGATCTGTCTGCCAGAAAGGCCCAACTATCGAAGCTGAAGACCGAGTGTGGCAGCGTCGTTTCCGGGACACCTGAGATTTTGAGTGAGATTGAAAGGTTTTATGGGCAGCTGTACACCTCATCGTTGGAGCCACTCGCAAGTGTGAGTAACCAGACACTTCCGATGATATTCCGGGTGTAAGTCTTAACTAGACTATAATGGCTCTCCAGCACCTTAGAAACGGCAAGTCTCCGGTGAGGATGAATTTACAGCGGAGCTTCTGAAAGCTTGTGGAAAACCGGTACTTGAAGTCCTCCAGAAAATCTTTAATTCCGTCCTCCATGGTGGCACTACACCGGAGGCGTCGAGCAGAACTGCGGTGGT